TCGAACTTCTAAGACAAAGTGTCTCAAAAGATGAAGTAGTTGTATACAAAGTTCCATTTTAAACAAATGCATTCTTTTCGAGTTATGCCTCTGGCCGAAAAAGTCAATAATGAGTAAATTAACCCGGATGTGCCACTCCCACCTCATTTTTTTGGCATAAGATAATTGATTTTCTAAATGTTATGTTGTGTTCCAAATATAAGACTTCTGCATTATACAGGTCAAAAGATATAGGTCAACAAACGTAAATAAAGATCAAAATCGAAAATTGAAAGTATGGACATTTTAAAACCAGTTCCTTTTTTGAAACTATAAAGCCGAAACAACTAAGCTGTTAAAACAAACTGTCCAAAAGAATGATGTTATTGTGTGCAAAGTCACTTTTTGAACAAACGTATCCTATGCGAGTTATGCCCCTATCCCAAAATGTAAACAATTAGTAATTCAACCCGGATGTGCCACGCCCACCTCAATTTTTTTGTCAGCGGTGAATTAATATTCAAAGTAGTCCAAATTTCAAGGTTCTACATCAAATAGGTCATAAGATATACATACACCAAGCTCAAAGAGACGCAAATATGTAAAAAAAAAACCAAGAATTTCAATTTTACTTTAAAATAAACGATTTTTATGTATCAATGAAAAGTGCATGAGAGGCACATTAGAAAACCAAAAAAATTAACCCTCTAGGTTAATTAGGCCACGTGCTAGAACAGTCTAAAGTTGCGAATTTCGCTGTTTTCGGATATCTATAAACCGGAAATACATGTCGGAGGTCAAATGTCAAAGTATCAACTGAGGCCAAGGTAAATGACCTTTGATCCTATAAAGGTCAAGGTCACGGGATATCACTCATCAAACTTTCAAAATGCATACGGCTAAAAAACCGGAAGCTTACGTCGGACATCAAATATGAAAGTATAAAATAGATACCAAGGTCAATGACCATTGACCCTACAAACGTTCAGGTCATCAAAGGTCAATGTCAAAATAATGAAAATTATGAAAATTCTAAAACTAGTTCCTTTTTTTGAACTATAAAGCTGAAACAACTGTCATTTTAACACAATCTGGCCAAAGAGATGAGGTAATTGTGTGCAAAGTCCCTTTTTGAACAAATATAGAGTATGCGAGTTATGCCTCTGCCCCAGTTTTGAACAATTAGCAATTTAACCCGGATGTGCCAAGTCCACCTCAACTTTTTTGTAATGATTTAATTCATTTTCAAAATGTCTAGTCGTGTTCCAAATTTCAAGCCTCTACATTAAATAGGTCACAAGATATACATACTCTAAGCACAAAGAGAAAAAAATATTGTAAAAAACACTCAATATCAAAAAAGTTCGAATTTTGCTTTAATAAACTTTTGTTATATATCGTTAGAAAGAGTATGAAGAGCACATTAAGAATCTGAAAACCGGAAGTAGATGTCGGAGGTCGAATATGAAAGTATCTGTTGATAGTCAAGGTCAAATCGGCTACCACACCAAAATCATCAAAATCGGATAAGCCGTTTATCTCTGAAAAGATTCTGGCGCATTTCAGAAAATTATCAAAATGGCGACCAAAGTATCACCTTCGGACCGGATTTTATCTTCTTCGTTTTTTGTCATAACTTTGGCTATCGATTTATATAAGTTTTGTCGCGCTAAATTAGTTACACCGGAATTAGTTCAACCGGAAGCGAGAATAGATTTCCCGTTTAAACCGGAAGTGAAGTAGGAATTTGACTATACAATTCTGTTCACTTTCATGAACTGTCTTTGCTCAAATTTTTTTAGATTAATCAGACAAAAAGCTAAAAAGTTTTGTTTTTTTTTGATAAAAAATTGCAAAATTCGACCGAAAAATGTGTGCGACACAAACAGTAAACTGAGTCAAACAATAACCAGAAATCTTAAAGGATGATACTTTGAAGCTGACAAATGCATCAGGAATAGCGAGTTAGAACCTTGAAAAGACATAAAATATATTTCCCATTTTTTAAACAAATAAGAAGTACACAATTTTATTTTCTTTCTGGGTTTCTGAATCGATACCTGGTTGATAAACTGTCGTTTGGTATTCAGGAAGAAACCTTAAGTCGTATTTATCCTGGACCTAACTTATCTCAATGTTTCAAAGTTGCATATTCAATATGAAAAACTACTTTCATGAAGCCATGTTAAATATAAGCCTGGAAGAAAAAGTATTGTCGTTCTTCATTATATGGCGAGAAAAACATTAATAATCGATGAAATAATAAGAATTTACCTCAGGGAACTGTAGATAACGCAGATCAAATGTTTAACTTGCATTAATTTTCTAGTCTCCGGGCGCAGAGATAAGGACATATTATCTATATCTAGCGACATAATCATTCCGAAAAACGCCATATTCTCTATTTCTTTTTTTACCAAATCAGTCCGTCTCACAGTTATAATATGATGATAATGAAATGAATATATTTTTTTCTTGTAAATGTTCTCGGATTTCAAAATCTGTCAACATGTTTCTTCAAATGGAAAGATACTACCTTCGGTTTCTTCGACCAGGTTTCCCCCTGTCAGTGATGCAGGTAAGAGGGGCTGGCATGGAAAAAACGTCTAGTCCTTCGGATGGGACAATAAACCGAGGCCCTGTGTGCTTACGGGCTGTGCACGTTAAAGATCCCACACAGAGGCAGCGAAGTCAGAGTCGCCTGGTTACATCAACCAGGATCTCCGACCACAAGACAGTTGTAACCCAATTTGCAAGACCACACCTTCCAGCATGAGAACGCCCATCCACACATTGCCACAGCCTCCAGGACCTTCAACCATTAGCATTACATTAAAATTATACCATGCTCCCCACTCAGTCCGGACTTAAACCCGATCCGAAGACTAAATCAGATCTGATGGTTTCCATGAAATGCAGATTCCAATGGCTTGTGTCAGCTTTTTGTCCACTCCATCTGCAGAGGATGCCGAGCCGTTATCTACGCACAACGTGGGCACATCAGGTACTGACTTTCTTCATCTATATGTATGAAGGTCACGTGATCAGAATATCGATATGACATTTCAATAACATAAAAAGGAACTAAAACATTTTTTTGTTCCAAAGATGATTGTTTTCTGACGAATATCATTATAATTATAGAATATATACTTCACTATTTTCTGTACTTTGTGACGTATCTTTATCCAATATATTTAACCTGTAACATTCTTTGACTTTCCTTAATTAAACATTAAGCCTTATGTGAAATTTCTTTTTTCAATTTCGAACCTTTCTAGTTGCAGTTATCATTTCCACATAAGTCGACCAAACAAATAATTTACCACATCAATTAGCAACAACATACACATCTATCATATATTATTGCTTTATTAGATCCTTTAACTGTGGTAGAACAACCTATATCGCCATTCCATTTCTTGTAACTCATTTTTGTAGAGGGCATCTGAATAGATTGATTAATTCATCTTAATTTACTGGGTGCGATTGTTGTTCACTGATATGTGTAGTCTAAAAGTGGGCAAAATTAATGTTATCATTAAAGAGGGACTGTTTAGGTGTCAATAATGCGGATAACCTTTGCTATACGTGTCATGTACTTTCACTTACAGTTAGTATTTTTTTTTCAGGTAGCCATATGGTAAATAATCAGTCAGATGGGACAATACATAATGATGTATTAAAGAAATTAGTAAATCAACCACATAATTCATCTATAAATGAGGTAAATATTATGTTATACATCGAAGCAGTATTAAATAGATGGACAAGTAAAAATGTCTTCCTGCAATTATATACCAATTGCTTTCTTGACCAATACCGAAAACAATCATTCGTAAATTCAATACTTTCTTTAATAACTTGGTTGGTTCTGATAAAATTGTAAGATACGTTGTAAATTCAAATTTTGATATTAGGTAGGTGGATTGTAGATGATACACGGAATATATTATCAAATCTATATACGTGTTTTTTAGATTAGAAAACTGTTTACCGATTCTGATCAAACATGGATATTAACATATAGAATGATTTTAAAGGAATACAATAGAACGATAAGGTCACTATATAATTTAAACAAAATCATACATTTTCACCCTTTTTCATAAACTCTTTCATCATTATTTTGCACATAAGCATTATTATGATATTATATCCATATAATATTACATAATAGTAAATGAAGATGTGTGTGGTGTCTCAATTAGATTCATTATAAAAATATACGATAAAAAATATCTTTCGACACGCTCCTTATTTAAAACATTCGAAAAGTTCAAATGTACTAATATTAATTTAACCAATTCTCTTGTAATTCAGACAAAGGCGTCAATGTTGAGAGAAAATGCCCTGTCCAATAGTTCCGATTGGATTTTATTACCAGTAGTTGTTCCAGTTACAGCTGTTTTATTCCTGTCATTCATAGTGACTCTTGTGCTGTTAAAGAAATACAAATATGGCCGCCGTCCAAAACGGGGCGAGGAAGGAGGTGTTATCAATAACGATAATGTCCAGCTATTGGAACAAATGAACAATGTCCAGAAGAATCCTACTTATATCAGCATTTCTCAAAATGGTGACACTGGGCGAAAATGTTTGATAACAGAACTTCCGTTAGATAATTTAAAATTGTCAACTGTGGTTGGAGAAGGGGCATTTGGGCAGGTGTTTAAAGGTAAGAATCGTCTCTAGGTTATGTCCAACATAACACCACCTAGGTCAATCATGATTACAACTTACTGTTGGTTTAGCTCATGTTTACAAAGGAGAATTAAATAAAGCTTATTGAAGACTTACTCCGCGTTAAGGATATAAAAAGTCCATTTAAAGGTTTAAAGGCGTTTAGATAGTGTCATTCTGTGGGTTGTTTGATTATCAGAACTCGTTGTCCTAAAATATGAAAGGTGATCATGGTGGTAAGATCAGTTCATGCCAAATCGCAAAATGACCTGTTTTAAAGGAAGATGCTGCTACTTATCATGGGTGTTGATTGTTTTTTTTTTTGTTAATGTTTTTAAGGTGAGCTCACTGACGACAATGGTGACTTTGTACAAAATGTAGCAATTAAAGTTTTAAAAGAAGGAGCTACAAATGAACTTAAAGAAGATTTTTATAGAGAAGTTGAAATCATGAGTACTTTTGATCATGATAACATTTTACATTTACTGGGGATAGTCACACAAAGTAAGTACCAAGACGAAAATTATAAAATCATGTTCGTCTTCGCTTTATAGGAGTATTATAATGACCAACACAACTTTTTTGATCAGAATAGTATACAATATACTAAAACGATGTGTTCGTTTTAATCATAAAATCAAACTAAAACAGAGGAACGAAAACAACAGAACTTTTCAATCAAACGGATCATTTTATGAATTTATCATATCAATTCTGGAAATACTGATCTTTCAATACAAAATAGTAGCCAACCGTACTGCATGAAGCTAAAGACTTACTTGACAAATCTATCAAGTCCAGAACACATGTATTTGAATCACCGAATTTGTAACAATGGTAACGTAAATATTGTCTATGCAATCAAACAAACAATAAAAAGTACCAAATAAAATTCTAAACAGAGCAGGAAATAATATTTTCATTGTTAATGAATGTTATCAAGTTACAAAACGGTTCAGGAATTAATTATAAATACAAGAATGTCACGCAACAGAACCAGGAACAAAGTTAAATCAGGTGGAATTTCATTGAAAGTCAAAAAAGTTTTTAATTAATTAACTAGAATGAACAAAACGTCCGCTTTCTCAATGTATTACTATGAAGACTCTCCTATAGTTACGGTAAGGTTATGTTGCCATAAAGATGAAATTGCTTTTCAATAGCTAGGAGAGGACTCAATTTCTGTCGTTTTTCTATGTGTGAATTGAAAGAGTTATGGTTTTCTCAGAATGATTTTGTATCGACAGGTATGACAACTTAAGCACGTCATTTAAAGAGCAACAGCGATCAACAGTATTGTCGGTCAATATCACTATGAGATTTTCGCTTGTACTGAGACGTTTACGGAAATGGAATGGACAATCGACTAAACCAACCTTAAAATAGAGCATTGATTGCCTTCTGAATCCTTCCAACCCCACTCTTATTTGTACATACAGTAAAATGTTTACATCTTCAGATGCTGGGGAATCGCCGTATATGGTCTTTGAGTTTATGATACATGGTGATCTAGCTGAATTACTAAGAAAATCAGACCAAGCTGTACAACATAGAGATAATAGTGTTGTCCTACAGAAGGTATGTTCCACTCTAATTAACAATAAGCATATTGTAACCACTTCAGATTCTGTTGACCCCGCCTAAATGGGAACAGATAATCCGGGAAAGATCAATGCCAGGAGGTATTGCTAGGGACCAGCTGGAAGAAAGGATCATAAACCCAAATTGTTATCCTTGAAACAAATGGTTCCTTCCTTCTTTTGACTCCTTAATTTTATTACACCGAAAGTGATACAGTATTATTCATTCTACTTGTAGATGTGTCGGAAGTGATTGAGAAACATTGTGTGTATTAGGAATATTGATTTTTCTGACTAATAGTTTAAAAAGAAATTAGGCGAAAGTAACTTATTAATAGATCTAAAAGAATTCATATTTAAGCAGATTACTAGTGACAATAAACAATACATAAATAGAAATAACATTAATAGAGAATCAACAATATAACTTTATAAAAATTTATGACTTATTATGTTGTTTCCTGATTTAAAAGTAGCATTAGAGTAACAGTGTTTGTATCAATATCGTAACTTGTATGGAAACGTGTGCACATTACATTTGCCTTGACATTATTGAGTCGTCAAAAGCACACCCATGTGTTTTATTAACCAGTTTTTTTTTATCTCTTTAGAGCATTATGATAGTTTGTAATCCTGAAATTTACTGAGCTGTGATTAAATTCATTTATGAATCTGCATATTAATTTGAAAAAAACAGCACACCTTCACAGATTACCACACGGAACACTTAATGTCTTAATAAGATTCAGTACATGCATTTTGAATAGCGTCTCTGAATAGCTAGAGCTTCTCGAATTCGTCATGTTGCTTGTTAGAGAGGTTGGAGGCTATGGTGGATTGGTCTTGCCATTGGATTTTGTGGTTTGGAAACTTTATGAGGTCTGCAGATAAGGCCGATTTTCCATCTTCGATTTTGGTGGAGGTTACATGTTCTTTCATTCTGGTGGAGAGAGGTCTGCATGATTCACCTATGTAAATGGCTCCACAGTTGCATAATATTGTTGTCTTTAATACTAGAATTTTGAATCTCATTTAAGAAAACCTTTCCACTTTGTCTTGTAGTTGTATTTTACTTGATCTGGGTTCAAATTTCGAAATTCAGCATTGGTATTTTTAGTTAATAACTTCCTTTGATACAGTTTAGCAATTGGTGATGGAACCGGTCAGTCTAGGCCGGAGAGAATCATTCACCATAAACTAGTATTAGTGACACTTAGTGCAAAAGGTATTTTTTGATTCACGAGAATTGTGAATTGATTTATTTCCAGACCGATCTGGTAGATATAGCAACACAGATATCAAATGGTATGGCATATCTGACGTCACAGCATTTTGTGCACCGCGATTTGGCCACCAGAAATTGTCTAGTGGGTGAAGGGCTGATTGTTAAAATATCAGATTTTGGAATGTCCCGGGATATATACACCTGTGATTATTATAAGGTAAGCTTTTTTGAAAAATTCAACAAACATCTTCTAGTTAATATTAAACCCACATAGACAGGACTTGATTTGTATGAAAAGGTAGAAAATAAAGCCAAAACATACAATCTCACTTTACCTTGGGCCACAATATACAATGTATGTCAAAACATGTAGGCGAGCCAATGAGTTATCTCAAATATTATTCTATTATTTTATAACAGATAGGAGGATCTCGGATGCTGCCAATACGGTGGATGTCTCCGGAAAGTGTCAAATATGGAAAATTTACAATAGAGTCAGATGTCTGGTCATACGGTGTTGTATTATGGGAAATATTCAGTGCTGGACGACAGCCATATTTTGGTCATTCGAATGAAGAGGTATGTACGCAGATCTACAGATGCATTTGCAGGCATTTCTGTTGATTGTTGAAAGACCATGCTTGTGTTATTTGATATGCCTATTTGTTTATCAATCTCAAATGTGTCTACTTAAAAACTGGCATAACTCGAATTATTTGCTCATGTTATTTTTTTTCTTTAGGTGATACAGTTTCTAGATACTGGAATTCTACTACAGAGACCAAACGAGTGTCCATCTACCATATATCACGTGATGTTAGGATGTTGGAAACAGGACCCAAAAGATCGCATGCCATTCCACAGAATCCATAACTATCTTTCAGAATATAGTAAACACATCACGCGAAATATGCACGTGCCTGTTGAAGACATTGATATTGAAGTTGCTGGTGACATACTGACCTAGTTTCCAGTTTTCTATCATGGCATTCAGATTTAATATCGAAACATTGACCAGGTACATCTTTTGCGCACCATTGATGTATAAGTCCGACCGAATGTGAACAGTTCCTGCCCCAACAACATTCGAATTAAGTTTTTGGTATAGCTCTATCTGAACTAGGATTACATGTGGTATGTACAGTGAGTGCCCAAGTACAACACTATATTTTACACTCGGAGGAATTCCTTCTGGTGAACGGAGTTAATATTTAAAAGATTTAGCAATTATAATCGTGATATTTATAAAAAAAATTACTTTTTTTTTGCTCTTGATTGTACCAGATGAGCAACATTAATATTATGCTGTATGTAATACCAATGTAATACCAATCATCGTACATTTTTTTCGATTCCAATCTATGGAGAACACAGTCAGTAGCACATGGGACCGTTACTTTGGTTTAATTTGAGTCACTAGATGCTATTCCATACCAGTTCCTTTCACCTGCATCCATTGACGATTGAGAACCCGGACTGATGTTGATAAACCTTAAAACGTTATCTCAACTCATGATCTTTTTTTTTGGAAATTTACTTTGATCAGAAAGTGTTGTCCGTCTTTAAAATACATTATTTCATCGGTCATCTCATAGGCTTACTTTTATGACAATTACCAAAAATGATAGCTCACATGAATTGGTATCATTTCATTGAACACTGACCTTCATAAATCACTGTACACAATCATAATTATAAACGAGACATTTGATTGGGTCTTCATAAAGTTTGAATTCGGGATGGTGTAAAATCCTCATCACATCTACCAACTCAACCGGAAGTTACAAATTGTGCGAAGATAAGTAATGCTATTACTATCATCATGAATCATCATATCGCCACGTAGCTATTCTATTTTTCGCAAGACTGTAGATATCAGTAGATGTTCTCTGTCTATCGTATACACGATATCGGCATTAATCACCATTAGGCTCAAACGATTTAGTCGATTCTCACACATCACGCTCCTAATAGGACAATTTTCGATGGGCCTGCGAAAGTGTTTGATAATTTTTACTGTTACATTTTTGTCAATTTTGTCATGGACCGTTTGTCTATAGGCTAATCCGCCTCTGTTGACCTAGGTCTATAGCTAGACAACATCATCTAAATTTTTAGGTGGGGGGGGGGGGGCCTAATCTACGGATTTGACATTATTCAGCTGGAATGAAAAATGACAAGATTAGACATCATAGACTTCATTAACAGTTCAACAGTTTTATTGATCTTAACCTCTATATGGTAAGTTAGTTTAGATCCATAAAACAGTTGTTGTGATAATTCTAAATGTCTTACAAGGATTATTGTATACACCATCATGTCACGAACTGTGAAATAGAATTTGGGGTTTTACGATTATAAAGAACAACTAATGCTGCATAAGTGTACAAATATCAGAAAAAGAAAATAAAATGTAAATATATTATATATGATATTATTTTTTGTTAATAATGATATTCTTTTTCTATGTATTGTTACAAAATAAACTAGATTTCTAGGTCACCTACGACTCATATTATTTGTGCAGATCATTGGCCTTTGTACAGAAAAGAGGAGGGCCCTGTTTTGTCCCTCCCACCACTTTCATTTTTTAATCGTTTTTTGTCGTGAAAAAATTGGCATGTGAAATAAACGGATTTGGCCCATGTTTTAGACTTTTCCTACTAATTAGTCCCCAGGGGCTTGGAAAACCACTTAAAACCTAATTAAAAACAATTGGAGAAAAAAATAGATTTCTATTAGTTACAAATGAACAACTGCACGAAATGTGCTCCTAATCAAATAAATTTCTTTCCTAAACAGTTGCAAAGCTAGAAAGCTGAAAATTTGCACACATATCCAAATGGGCTATCTAGACATTTAGAAAAAAACAGAACTCAAAAATCTCCCATAGGGAAACACTTAGCTCAGGAAAAATTACCGATAATCTGCTCTTATAGGCCATATGTAGGGTAAACGTCCAATACCTAACTTTGCGAAATAAACCGATTTGGCCCATGTTTTGGACTTTTCCCAATCATGAGGCCCCAGGGACTTGGAAAAACACTTCAAACCTAATTAGAATCAATTAGGGGAAAAAATGGGAATTTCTTGTTACAAGGGACTGCTGCAGGAAATGTGCTCATATTCAAATAAATTTTTTTCTTGAAAAGTTACAAAGCTACAAAGCTGAAATTTTGCATACATATCCACATGGGCTATCTAGACATTTAGAAAAAAACAGAGCTCAAAAATCTCCCATAGGGAAAAACTTAGCTCAGGAAAAGTTGCCGATAATCTGCTCTTATAGGCCATATGGAGGGTAAACGTCCAATACCTAACTTTGCGAAATAAACCGATTTGGCCCATGTTTTGGATTTTTCCCACTCATGAGGCCCCAGGGACTTGGAAAAACACTTCAAACCTAATTAGAATCAATTAGGGGAAAAAATGGGAATTTCTTGTTACAAGGGACTGCTGCAGGAAATGTGCTCATATTCAAATAAATTTTTTTCTTGAAAAGTTACAAAGCTACAAAGCTGAAATTTGGCACACATATCCACATGGGCTATCTAGACATTTAGAAAAAAACAGAGCTCAAAAATCTCCCATAGGGAAAAACTTAGCCCAGGAAAAGTTGCCGATAATCTGCTCTTATAGGCCATATGGAGGGTAAACGTCCAATACCTAACTTTGCGAAATAAACCGATTTGGCCCATGTTTTGGACTTTTCCCACTCATGAGGCCCCAGGGACTTGGAAAAACACTTCAAACCTAATTAGAATCAATTAGGGGAAAAAATGGGAATTTCTTGTTACAAGGGACTGCTGCAGGAAATGTGCTCATATTCAAATAAATTTTTTTCTTGAAAAGTTACAAAGCTACAAAGCTGAAATTTGGCACACATATCCACATGGGCTATCTAGACATTTAGAAAAAAACAGAGCTCAAAAATCTCCCATAGGGAAAAACTTAGCCCAGGAAAAGTTGCCGATAATCTGCTCTTATAGGCCATATGGAGGGTAAACGTCCAATACCTAACTTTGCGAAATAAACCGATTTGGCCCATGTTTTGGACTTTTCCCACTCATGAGGCCCCGGGGACTTGGAAAAACACTTCAAACCTAATTAGAATCAATTAGGGGAAAAAATGGGAATTTCTTGTTACAAGGGACTGCTGCAGGAAATGTGCTCATATTCAAATAAATTTTTTTCTTGAAAAGTTACAAAGCTACAAAGCTGAAATTTGGCACACATATCCACATGGGCTATCTAGACATTTAGAAAAAAACAGAGCTCAAAAATCTCCCATAGGGAAAAACTTAGCCCATGTAAAGTTGCCGATAATCTGCTCTTATAGGCCATATGGAGGGTAAACGTCCAATACCTAACTTTGCGAAATAAACCGATTTGGCCTATGTTTTGGACTTTTCCCACTCATGAGGCCCCAGGGACTTGGAAAAACACTTCAAACCTAATTAGAATCAATTAGGGGAAAAATGGGAATTTCTTGTTACAAGGGACTGCTGCAGGAAATGTGCTCATATTCAAATAAATTTTTTTCTTGAAAAGTTACAAAGCTACAAAGCTGAAATTTGGCACACATATCCACATGGGCTATCTAGACATTTAGAAAAAAACAGAGCTCAAAAATCTCCCATAGGGAAAAACTTAGCCCAGGTAAAGTTGCCGATAATCTGCTCTTATAGGCCATATGGAGGGTAAACGTCCAATACCTAACTTTGCGAAATAAAGCGATTTGGCCCATGTTTTGGACTTTTCCCACTCATGAGGCCCCAGGGACTTGGAAAAACACTTCAAACCTAATTAGAATCAATTAGGGGAAAAAATGGGAATTTCTTGTTACAAGGGACTGCTGCAGGAAATGTGCTCATATTCAAATAAATTTTTTTCTTGAAAAGTTACAAAGCTACAAAGCTGAAATTTGGCACACATATCCACATGGGCTATCTAGACATTTAGAAAAAAACAGAGCTCAAAAATCTCCCATAGGGAAAAACTTAGCCCAGGAAAAGTTGCCGATAATCTGCTCTTATAGGCCATATGGAGGGTAAACGTCCAATACCTAACTTTGCGAAATAAACCGATTTGGCCCATGTTTTGGACTTTTCCCACTCATGAGGCCCCAGGGACTTGGAAAAACACTTCAAACCTAATTAGAATCAATTAGGGGAAAAAATGGGAATTTCTTGTTACAAGGGACTGCTGCAGGAAATGTGCTCATATTCAAATAAATTTTTTTCTTGAAAAGTTACAAAGCTACAAAGCTGAAATTTGGCACACATATCCACATGGGCTATCTAGACATTTAGAAAAAAACAGAGCTCAAAAATCTCCCATAGGGAAAAACTTAGCCCAGGAAAAGTTGCCGATAATCTGCTCTTATAGGCCATATGGAGGGTAAACGTCCAATACCTAACTTTGCGAAATAAACCGATTTGGCCCATGTTTTGGACTTTTCCCACTCATGAGGCCCCAGGGACTTGGAAAAACACTTCANACCTAATTAGAATCAATT